GAGACTCGTGGACCTCTGCGATTACAGCCATACCGAGTGAACCTGTGCTTTGGGTTTGCCAGCACCTCTTGAATTCGTAGAGCCGCGTCTGTTTAAGACTTAAACGTCCGGTGTTCAGACGCTAGACTAAATTATTATTACTAACCCACTAACACTGATAATGAACTAACTTAATGCAAATGACATGCATGTTGGGGTGAACCTCACAAAACGAGAATGAGAAGTTTCACTCCAGACTCTAAATTAAAACATTTTATTGTAAATTGAAATATGGCCCAGGTATGTTTTTTTTTTTTTGGTGAGATTCATCTGATAAACTTTAAAACCTTTAAAAAAAAAAGTATGATTTAAGGAACTCAGTTGGATATTATGTAGCCAAATATTTCGAGTGTCTAGAAATTTCACAAGCAATATTATTATTTTTCTTTCTCTTTTCTGTAAGAAAATGCTGCATGTGATTTCAATGACGTTACTGTAATGATTTCTTGAGCAACACTGTTTGCTGCTTTTATAAAGCGTCCGGTTAAGAGTTTACCTCAATGGTTTGATGTGCTGGCAAAAATAGTTCGTATTAGCTCACGTAAACGATATGCTTGAAATTCGCACATGAGTGTGTGTGTGTGTAGTTTGTTTAGCGCAAATCGTAGTTTAATGTTTGGCAATGCCTCGCTCAAGTTCCAGCACTTTGTTATGACGTTCATTTAAACACCACTGTGAAACTATGCACTTTAGACAGGCCTACGGTCAGTTTTTTTGTTTTGTTTTAGTTCAATTTTTATTTAAATGTTTTCATTCGTTACTGTAGTTCAGAGGTTTTATTTATTTTTTTGTTTGGTATTCGTTCTGTTTTTCAATTCGATCTCGCCTGCGGGTTTAGGTCAACATGTGAATGTTACCGATGGAGATACACAGATGTACTGAATGAGGGTCTTTAGTTTGGAGGACTGAAGGCCATTGAACCGATGCTTTGACTGAGTTACTTAAATGTTACACCAGCACAAAGTAGGACGTTTTATGATGTAAGTAGTTTTCTGGTCAGTGTGGTTTAACAGTTGGTCTAACAATACCTAATTATTACCGGCTTACGTGTTTAATAACTGTTGTATTTCAAAACGCAAACCATGTGCTACTTAACACTTAATCAGGATCAACCATGTTTATTTTGTAACATTTCGAAGCTGTTGAATGCCTTGAGTTGATGACAGTATTAGCAGGCTTTGACTTTTTGGATCAATGTATTGCGTAGATGCAGGCAGGGAAAACCAATGTTCATTGATCCTGACAAAGAAAAATATTTGAATATTGTCATGAGGGAGACAAAAATATATTGTGGTGTTTTGCATTGCTGATCTCATCGCTTCATTTCAGTGTTTAGGATAATGGTGCTACTGTATTGCAGCTACAAAAGTCTCTTGCTTTCAAACGGCAGCCAAACTTTTGCAGAATTATATGCTTGTTGTGTTAGAGGTCTACGTGATCAGAGGTTATTGTGCAGCATAAATATAGCTCTCGTGATCGAGAGGAAAAAAACGAGTTTGACTTTGTATGTAAAAATAGTGCAATGACTTAAAATGCAGACCAAAAAATCTGGTATGGAAATAATTTTCTAACATTTACTTGCAGATAAAACAATCAATTTGTGATAACCACATGATGAAAATTGTTTATATTTGTTGAGAGAATGCACAAAATTGAATCTGTTGATGATTGTTTCAGCATAAATGCATAAATCTGGAATCGAAGTTCATTGTTTTAAGTAAAAGACTTTAGTTTTTTACATTATTTATTGCTGTTATCAACTGCAGATTATAAAATTCGACATGCACAATCTGATTATTACTGGTGCTGAATATGCAATAGATTAGACCAATGCCTTTTGAATATCTGTGATCGTGTATGTATTATGGCATGACTAACATTTTACTTGGGTTACAAAATATCTAGTAGCCTGAATAAAACTGTATGAATGAACCAATTATGGATGTTCTGGTTTTATTTAATCATGACCACTCCAACATAACAATATTAGCTTATTTTAATGTCTTTTTGTAGAAATCATTTTTCATTAGAACATAAATTCTCACATGTAAATCCAAATAAGGGCTTAAAGTGTGTTATTTGCACCTCGTGGCGCCCACTTGTGGTCTATTTGGGAATTTTAATGAGATGCTCTTCTGTTAATCATTAGATATATCAATATTTTAATAGTAAGAAGATTCACAGCACAGTTTATTCATTTAAAAAACGCTGAACAGTTGTCTAATGTCACAGTTGTAGTTTACATGACATACAACATATGGAAAAACAACGTGCAAAGTCCTAAAGACGACATCTGTTGGACTGTCCAGTAAAGTACAAAGCAAAATCAAAAGATTATATAAGTCTACACTCACCATTACAAGCACAGCTTCAGAATATAAAACATTTCATTGGCATTCATGAATGCCACGCATGGCATACATTTATTGCTTATAAATGCCTAAAATGCAAAAATGTTAAATTCCCAGACACACACCATAACAGTTCGGTTCATCGAGTTAAGTATGAATATGAATGTATATAAAGATATAGTGTATGCTGGAATAAAAACACATTCATTTTTTGTAATGCACACATTTAGGAAGTGCAACTATTAATACACTTCATTCTCTGGAAGACCATGAGCAAATACTCGTATCCATCAGGTGTAAAATAAACTCAGTGATATAACTTTTCAACATCACAATCAAAAAAACAATAAAATTGCTGCCTGCCAAGATCACACTGCTGTTTTTAGACTTTCTTGCCTATTCCAAAATAATGAGAATAGGCTGCAGACTTAATAATATTATATTTTTAAAAACAATAAATACATTGATTCTTGTCTAAATACTAACTAGCATCATTTTAAAACATTTACTTGCAATTTGTTTCTCCTAGTCATAGTCAAAGAGTGATATATACAGGTGAAACTCGAAAAATTCAAATATTGTGAAAAAGTTAATTTACCGTATTTCAGTAATTCCACTTAAAAGGTGAAACTAATATATTATATAGACTCATTACACACAAAGTGAGATATTTCAAGCCTTTATTTCTTATAATTTTGATGATTATGGCTTACAGCTTATGAAAACCCAAATTCAAAATTAGAATATTGTGAAAAGGTTTTCATAACTGTAAGCCATAATCATCAAAATTATAACAAATAAAGGCTTGAAATATCTCACTTTGCGTGTAATGAGTCTATATATTAGTTTCACCTTTTAAGTTGAATTACTCAAATAAAATAACTTTTGCACGATATTCAAATTTTTCGAGTTTCACCTGTAGTTCCCAAGCTGCTCTGCAGGTTATATTTCAATTTTACACAAACCCTGAATCACACCCCTCAAATCTAACACAGTGACTACGTTTACATGCAGCCAAATTTCGGGTTATGGTCGGGTTAAGGTCACTATTCGGGTTTCTGAAACATTAGGGATAACCCGTTTACATGCGTGAGCAGAGAGAGTTACTCCTGTATACATGGAATTGCCTAATCCCGATGTAAACGCGACGTGCGGTTAGCGTCTGGACGTACGGACAACCGGGCCCTTACATAGTCAACGCATCGGTACGCATACGCGTGCGCAAGGCTACACATCGCTACGCTTCGGCCGCCATTATGCGTCGATGCGTAGCCAAATGTGTCATCCTAGTTTTTGATACGCGACGCGCCGATGCACGCAATACTATGCGTTGTCGGTGGGGGCGACATTGCAAGTAATGTACATAAAAAGGTATGTTATTATGTTTATAGAAGAAGAAGATTTGAATACAATGGCGGGCGAAGAGGAAAAGTTATGCGAGCTTGTTCGTATACATCCTTTGTTGCCGCCGATGTAAAATCAGCAATATGCACTCCTCTTCAGTTGCCATTTTGATCTGAATATTACGTGACCCGACTCTAGACTCTACTACCCCCTGCTGCGCGATCGGTGTATTGCATTTCACGCATCGCCGGTGACGCTTGTGTACTATGAAAAGGAGCGCGTAGCTCGCGTCGCTCGCGTTGCTTGCTCGCGTTGCTCGCGTTGACTATGTAACGGCAATAGAACAATAGAAATTTGACAATAGAAATCTCAACATAATCTGAAGCAAGCAGCCAGTGTAGCCTATAAGATTCAAAATATTTAACACAGTAAGTAAAATACAGTTAACATTTAGTTTAAAATAATCAGTGCATGTTTTGCACACTGTTTTTAAATTATAGTTCATAAGTTTAACTTATATAACAATCTCCAGTGAGAATTTTTTTTTAAAATAATGGCTCAAATTTATGCGTTTTTGAATTGGTTTGTTGAAGTGGACGGTAAAAGCCAGCTTGAAACTAAAGTTGCGCTGGTCTTTTCTTCCCTGTGACGTAAATCTGAGCGAAGTGACTTCTCAAACAAGAACAAATGTAGGGCGGGGCTTGATTTTGTCCGTGAGGATTTGATTGGATGGTTGGATGGTTGTGGTTTGCTATTGGTGGATCTCATGTGAGAGTGAAGAGAAGAGATGGCGCTGCAAAAGGGAGGGGAAGTTATTTTGATTAAAGATTATGAGGAAACATGAATTTGAAAAAAAAATGATGATGATGATGATGATGTGCATAATAAATACTGGAATATTAAAAAAACAAAACAAGAATTGTCAATTCTGATTTCTTGGTGACTAAACTGATTCACGAAAAATACTTCTCTTTTAATGCTCTCAATCTCTACAATACAAAGAAACATTTAAACTAGTTTGAACCTTTTTATGCGATATTCGCAACGCTGCATCATTTTCACGGTAAAATAATGTAAAAATGTTGCAGTGAAAACATATTCTAGTATTTCAATAGATCGGTAAATTAGCATTGTATCAGATAATGAAATATGTTTTTTTACTGTAAATTTAACTTATGTAAAACCTAAAATGTTGCTACCGTATTCCCGTACGGTAAATTTCTGGCAACCACAGCTGCCAGTTTTTTTACCGTAAATTTAACAGAATTTTTTTTACAGTGTAATTTTCAATTCTCTACATCGCCCAGCCCTAGTTCAAACCCTAAGGCTTTTCTCTGAGAAGTGAGCATTATTCCCAGCAGATCAGGAGTGAGAAGAGTCCGATCAGGAGCAGCAGGAGCAGCAGGAACAGGAAGCGTGTGCTGGGGAACGAGGCGGCTGGACGTCCCGGGCGGCTCCGCAGGTACTGGTCCACAGAGTCCGTCAGGCTGAACTTCTCAGGAACGAAGCCCAGTTCTCGCTGGGCCTTCTCGATTTTAAAGGTGTGACTGACAGCAATGCTTCTGACCTGAGAGGGATGCAGAGGTCAGGAGAGGTCAACATGCAAACAGCAGACAGAGATGAGGTGATATACTGATCTGATCAGACACACAGGTCACATGCTGTCACCTACTGGACACCTCAGAGACACACGCTGGGCTGCGGCCTCTCGGTAAAAACAAGTGTATTAATGTGCACTTGTGGTGTAGCTGCTTAAAATCTTAAAAAAAAGCCACTTAAAGAGTATTGTGAACTGTTTCATGACTTAACATGTAATGTAATGTAATGTAATGTAATGTAATGTAAAGTTCATTATGTTTAAATAATCTTTTGTCATGCTTTAGTCAACACATCAAAATAAGTGTACTTCTTTAAAGTAATAAATCACATGTAAAGTACACGATTTTAATTTAAACTGTAGTGTTATTTGATATTATATTTAAAATGTACTAAATTGCAACTGCATTATTACAAATGTGGTTCAGATAACATTATATTTTAAGTTTCTATTTATTAAACCAATCTCCATTGCATTAACTCAAATTTTTAATTTCAATGAACTCAACATTTTTTAGAGGGAACTGGTAACTTAATTTTTTAAGTCAAACCAACAATCATTTTTTACAGTGAAATTACATACAAAAAATATATTTAAATACACCGTAAAAATATATATATTTTTAAGTACAATCAGCTTGGATGTTTAAGTCATTTGAACTAAAATTACAGTAAACTGACTGGAATTATATTAAATGAGTTGAATCTTGTATAACTTATAAAAAAAGTTGAAAATTGCTCAACTTATTTTGATGAGTTAAAGTAATATAAAAACATATGTTGTCATGACTAATTGATCATATATTTTTTTACAGTGTACATACATGGCACACGTTTCAATAAAAAGAAAATGACATTAAAATATATTTTAGTTTATCAAAAATGCTTTTCAGTACATTCAGCAGTAACTTAATTTCAAAGACAATAGAAATAATTATGAAATTGCATTTAAGTCCTACATAAGTTAGTCAAAAAACGCTTAAATTCAACTAATTAGAAAAAACTAATTTAATTGTAAATAATACGCAATTAAGTGTAAAAAAAATGTTACATTCAGTTCTCACACTTAAGTATATTATTGCAAACCTGTAAATAGTATTTAGTATAAGTACTATTTAAAAAAAAAAAAGGTTTGTTTGTGGCAATCGTTATTCTGTAAAAAAGGTTTGTTATTTGAGTTGGTGGGACTGCTCTTCTCCTGGCGGACTGGTTTAAAGCATGAGGAGAGTTAAGGTAGGTTAAGAGGTGTCACAGTCAGATCGTCCTGAAGACAGTATTAAGACACGGCGCTGAGAGATGGGCTCTGGATTTGACTTCACAGATCAGATTCTGAGGGCTTCACATTTACTAATGGCTTTAATGACCTCCTTTTACCTGGCATTACTTTTACATTGAGTGTGTCTGTACCCGCGCGCTCTGCTGGCACCGTGAAATGCCCCCGCGGTCTCTCTCCCCTTACCAGCCTTCAGATTGGGTATCGACACGGAAAACCTGCGGTGGGCCGAGAGCCAGAGCCGGTTCCCTTGACCCAACACACACTGCCGTCTAGACCAGGAGGCGTCTGAAGAGTGTGTGGGCACGTTATAAAGCTCACGCTTAAAACTTTATTGGGAACTTTATTAGGAACACCTGTTCAACTGCTTGTTAAAGCAAATATCTAATCAGCCAATCACATGCAGCAACTCAATGCATTTAGGCATGTAGACATGATCAAGACAATCTGCTGGAGTTCAGACTGAGCATCCGATTGAGGAAGAAAGGAGATTTAAGTGACTTTAAATGTGACATGGTTGTTGGTGTCAGATGAGAACAGCAAACTGAGGCTGCGATTCACACTAGCTCAACAAAACTGGACAGTAGAAGACTGGAGAAACGTTGCCTGGTCTGATGAGTCTCTATTTCTCCTGCAACATTCAGATGGTCGGGTCATAATTTGGTGTTAACAGTGTGAAAGCATGGATCGATAATGCCTTGTGTCAGCAGTTGAGGCTGCTGGAGGTGTAATGCTGTGAGGGATATTTTCTTGGCACACTTCGGGTCTCTTAGAATCAATTGATCATTGTTTAAACGCCACAGTCCAACTGAGTATTGTTGTTGTCCATCTCCATCCCTTTATGACCAGTGTATCGTCTTCTGATGGCCCTTCCAGCAGGAAAACACACACGTCTCAAATCTCAAATCATCTCAAACTGGTTTCTTGAGCAACTGTGTGATGATTTCATGACAATATGGACCAAAGTCTATGAGGAATGTGTCCAGCAGCTGTTGAGGAATTAAGGCTCTTCTGAAGGCAAAAGATGTATCTTCAGTGGCGGGTGAGTGTATAAACACACCGAACAGTGGAACGTCTCAGTGTCAGCACTCTTGAAACACTGTTCAGCCAATTGGGAAGTTTTCAGAAGAAGGCAACTTTGTATCGACATGTGAAACTTTCAAATAATATCCTTATAATTGTAATCAAGGATGTAAAGTTGCTTTGAAACATAATTGTGAAAAGTGCTATTCAAATAAATTTAAGTGGATCAAAGCATATTATAAGAGACCTGGAACAAACAAATGGTACAGGGTGTTGTTCAAACTAGTTAGCATTAACCCAGGAATAGCTGCTAGTAGACAGCTGATCTGACATTTTCTTCTGATATCATATCTTTAAACTTCACCTCAGAACGTAAAATCCCACATTTGGATTATTTAGAGGTGGACTGTGTGATCAGATCATGCTATGAAACAGACTAGTGCCATCTAGTGGACAGAGGACAGTGTACACTTACAAAAAAAAAACTTATAAACCGTAATATATGACACATTCAACTAATATAAATATACCTAATATCCTGGCCACTAAAAGTATTTGGACACATAAGCCACACTACGAATGTAACAAAATATCAAACCAAACAGAGGCTTGTATCTTGTTTTTCCAAATGATAAAATAATAGATCTATTCATATTCATAAGTGTCCAGATGTGTCTCAGTAGTTTTGATGTCACTGTATATAATATATAGTGTAAGATTTGGATCAGAAACTGGGATGGAGGTTACCATCATGTGATTGACATACTCATTTCCTGGTGCTTGTGTGTGTGTGTGTGTGTGTGTGTGTGTGTGTGTGTGTGTGTGTGTGTGTGTGTGCGTGTCTTTCCTTCACCTGCCCATCTCAAACCTAAAGCTCCAGCAAGGAGCTGGTGCCTCATGTTTTATTCACAAAGCAATCATCAAACCTGCCTCCACCTGAGCAGAATCACCCGTCAGGCCGGGGCTTGTGTTTCTCATGACTAATGCATGTCTCAGCACCAGTCCACGCCTAAAGCAACGGGTTCTTCCTCAGACTTCAGGCCAACTGGGTTATCATGCTTTACCATCCCAGAGTCCACTGTGATACTTAAACAGCACATGCAGACTTCATGGTTACAGACGCCTGCTCGTGTGATGTATGAGATCTGATGGACCTTATAGAGTTGAAGTTCATCATGTTGAGTGCAGGAGGACTGGAGCTGCTGTGATTATAGAGTTGAAGGAGAATAGAGTTGAAGTTCATTATGTTGAGTGCAGGAGGACTGGAGCAGCTGTGATTATAGAGTTGAAGGATAATAGAGTTGAAGTTCATTATGTTGAGTGCAGGAGGACTGGAGCTGCTGTGATTATAGAGTTGAAGGATAATAGAGTTGAAGTTCATCATGTTGAGTGCAGGAGGACTGGAGCTGCTGTGATTATAGAGTTGAAGGAGAATAGAGTTGAAGTTCATTATGTTGAGTGCAGGAGGACTGGAGCTGATGTGATTATAGAGTTGAAGGATAATAGAGTTGAAGGATTATAGTTGAAGTTCATTATGTTGAGTGCAGGAGGACTGGAGCTGTTGTGATTATAGAGTTGAAGGATAATAGAGTTGAAGGATAATAGAAATTAAGGATTATAGATGAAGTTCATTATGTTGAGTGCAGGAGGACTGGAGCTGCTTTGATTATAGAGTTGAAGGATAATAGAGTTGAAGGTTTATAGAGTTGAAGTTCATTACGTTGAGTGCAGGAGGACTGGAGCTGCTGTGATTATAGAGATGAAGGATAATAGAGTTGAAGGATTATAGTTGAAGTTCATTATGTTGAGTGCAGGAGGACTGGAGCTGTTGTGATTATAGAGTTGAAGGATAATAGAGTTGAAGGATAATAGAGTTGAAGGATAATAGAGTTGAAGGATTGTAGAGTTGAAGTTCAGTATGTTGAGTGCAGGAGGACTGGAGCTGCTGTGATTATAGAGGTGAAGGATAATAGAGTTGAAGGATTATAGATGAAGTTCATTATGTTGAGTGCAGGAGGACTGGAGCTGCTTTGATTATAGAGTTGAATGATAATAGAGTTGAAGCATAATAGAGTTGAAGGTTTATAGAGTTGAAGGATTATAGAGTTGAAATTCATTATGTTGAGTGCAGGAGGACTGGAGATGCTGTGATTATAGAGTTGAAGGATTATAGAGTTGAAGTTCATTACGTTGAGTGCAGGAGGACTGGAGCTGCTGTGATTATAGAGTTGAAGGATAATAGAGTTGAAATTCATTATGTTGAGTGCAGCAGGACTGGACCTGCTGTGATTATAGAGTTGAAGGATAATAGAGTTGAAGGATTATAGTTTAAGTTCATTATGTTGAGTGCAGGAGGACTGGAGCTCTTGTGATAATAGAGTTGAAGGATAATAGAGTTGATGGATAATAGAGTTGATTGATAATAGAGTTGAAGGATTATAGTTGAAGTTCAGTATGTTGAGTGCAGGAGGACTGGAGCTGCTGTGATTATAGAGTTGAAGGGTTATAGATTTGAAGGATAATAGTTGAAGGATTATAGAGTTGAAGTTCATTATGTTGAGTGCAGGAGGACTGGAGCTGTTGTGATTATAGAGTTGAAGGATACTAGAGTTGAAGGATACTAGAGTTGAAGGATAATAGAGTTGAAGGTTTATAGAGTTGAAGGATTATAGAGTTGAAGGATTATAGAGTTGAAGTTCATTACGTTGAGTGCAGGAGGACTGGAGCTGCTGTGATTATAGAGTTGAAGGATACTAGAGTTGAAGGATACTAGAGTTGAAGGATAATAGAGTTGAAGGATTATAGAGTTGAAGGATTATAGAGTTGAAGGATTATAGAGTTGAAGTTCATTACGTTGAGTGCAGGAGGACTGGAGCTGCTGTGATTATAGAGTTGAAGGATAATAGAGTTGAAATTCATTATATTGAGTGCAGCAGGACTGGACCTGCTGTGATTATAGAGTTGAAGGATAATAGAGTTGAAGGATTATAGTTGAAGTTCATTATGTTGAGTGCAGGAGGACTGGAGCTCTTGTGATAATAGAGTTGAAGGATTATAGTTGAAGTTCAGTATGTTGAGTGCAGGAGGACTGGAGCTGTTGTGATTATAGAGTTGAAGGATAATAGAGTTGAAGGATAATAGAAATGAAGGATTGTAGAGTTGAGTGCAGGAGGACTGGAGCTGCTGTGATTATAGAGTTGAAGGATAATAGTTGAAGGATTATAGAGTTGAAGTTCATTATGTTGAGTGCAGGAGGACTGGAGCTGTTGTGATTATAGAGTTGAAGGATAATAGAGTTGAAGGATAATAGAAATGAAGGATTGTAGAGTTGAAGTTCAGTATGTTGAGTGCAGGAGGACTGGAGCTGCTGTGATTATAGAGGTGAAGGATAATAGAGTTGAAGGATTATAGATGAAGTTCATTATGTTGAGTGCAGGAGGACTGGAGCTGCTTTGATTATAGAGTTGAAGGATACTAGAGTTGAAGGATACTAGAGTTGAAGGATAATAGAGTTGAAGGTTTATAGAGTTGAAGGATTATAGAGTTGAAATTCATTATGTTGAGTGCAGGAGGACTGGAGATGCTGTGATTATAGAGTTGAAGGATTATAGAGTTGAAGGATTATAGAGTTGAAGGATTATAGAGTTGAAGGATTATAGAGTTGAAGTTCATTACGTTGAGTGCAGGAGGACTGGAGCTGCTGTGATTATAGAGTTGAAGGATAATAGAGTTGAAATTCATTATATTGAGTGCAGCAGGACTGGACCTGCTGTGATTATAGAGTTGAAGGATAATAGAGTTGAAGGATTATAGTTGAAGTTCATTATGTTGAGTGCAGGAGGACTGGAGCTCTTGTGATAATAGAGTTGAAGGATTATAGTTGAAGTTCAGTATGTTGAGTGCAGGAGGACTGGAGCTGCTGTGATTATAGAGTTGAAGGGTTATAGATTTGAAGGATAATAGTTGAAGGATTATAGAGTTGAAGTTCATTATGTTGAGTGCAGGAGGACTGGAGCTGCTGTGATTATAGAGTTGAAGGATAATAGAGTTGAAGGATTATAGAGTTGAAGTTCATTATGTTGAGTGCAGGAGGACTGGAGCTGCTGTGATTATAGAGTTGAAGGATAATAGAGTTGAAGGATTATAGAGTTGAAGTTCATTATGTTGAGTGCAGGAGGACTGGAGCTGCTGTGATTATAGAGTTGAAGGGTTATAGATTTGAAGGATAATAGTTGAAGGATTATAGAGTTGAAGTTCATTATGTTGAGTGCAGGAGGACTGGAGCTGCTGTGATTATAGAGTTGAAGGATAATAGAGTTGAAGGATTATAGAGTTGAAGTTCATTATGTTGAGTGCAGGAGGACTGGAGCTGCTGTGATTATAGAGTTGAAGGATAATAGAGTTGAAGGATTATAGAGTTGAAGTTCATTATGTTGAGTGCAGGAGGACTGGAGCTGCTGTGATTATAGAGTTGAAGGATAATAGAGTTGAAGGATTATAGAGTTGAAGTTCATTATGTTGAGTGCAGGAGGACTGGAGCTTCTGTGATTATAGAGTTGAAGGGTTATAGATTTGAGTTGAAGGGTTATAGATTTGAAGGATAATAGTTGAAGGATTATAGAGTTGAAGTTCATTATGTTGAGTGCAGGAGGACTGGAGCTGCTGTGATTATAGAGTTGAAGGATTATAGAGTTGAAGTTCATTAAGTTGAGTGCAGGAGGACTGGAGCTGCTGTGATAATAGAGTTGAAGGATAATAGAGTTGAAGGATTATAAAGTTGAAGTTCATTAAGTTGAGTGCAGGAGGACTGGAGCTGCTGTGATTATAGAGTTGAAGGATAATAGAGTTGAAGGATTATAGAGTTGAAGTTCATTAAGTTGAGTGCAGGAGTGCTGGATCTGCTGTGCATGTTAAAGAGAGTTAAAGGTAATTCACTTCTGCTGATGGAAACCTAAGATGCCACACTTAGGCTAGAGTTGTTGCCATGGCGGCTGAACCTTCAGTTTATCACACATATCATCTGCTCATCCCTGATGTGAATCTCCTGTTCCTCCGCATCCCAGAGCGGCTCCACTGGACTGAGATCTGGAGACTGTGGAGGCCGTTTGAGTTTAGTGACTCACTCAAGAAACCAGTTTGAGATGATTTGAGATTTGAGACGTGTGTGTTTTCCTGCTGGAAGGGCCATCAGAAGATGATACACTGGTCATAAAGGGATGGAGATGGACAACAACAATACTCAGTTGGACTGTGGCGTTTAAACAATGATCAATTGGTACTAAGAGACCCGAAGTGTGCCAAGAAAATATCCCTCACAGCATTACACCTCCAGCAGCCTCAACTGCTGACACAAGGCATTATCGATCCATGCTTTCACACTGTTTACACCAAATTATGACCCGACCTTCTGAATGTTGCAGGAGAAATAGAGACTCATCAGACCAGGCAACGTTTCTCCAGTCTTCTACTGTGAGTCCAGCCCGTCCGGCACCAACAACCGTGCCACGCTCAAAGTCACTTAAAGCACCTTTTTCCTCATTCTGATGCTCAGTTTGAACATAAGCAGATTATTTGACCATGTCAACATACCTAAATGCATTGAGGGTACGTTTACACGACAACGATATGCTTAAAACGGATTAATTATTTCCTTTTTTCCCTACAGTTTTCTGCAAACATTGTCAAAAAGATCCACGGAAACTCCTCTGTTTGTAAGCTCCTCTACAGCTCCTCTGAGTGTGTTTCTCTGTTTGCTAATGGAGTTTAATTACCTATAATAGCGGAGGGAGAATGCAATGTCACACTGCTCTCAAGATGGCATCAAAACAACTTTAGTAGGAAAAAGGGATCAGAGCAAACTGCATAATCTAATGAACATTTACCTCATTTCTGGTGAGAAGCAATGGGATTTCCAGGATAGGCCTCAGAGTCACATGTAGTCGCTCCATCAGAATTGCTGGAGAAGACAAGAAAGTTCATTCAACAACTTAATTTCTCAATTCAAGCTCTAGGCACAAAAATGGGATGAAAAAAGAATACGATTTATAGTTGCATTATAATTTTAATGTCACACCTGCTGAGTAGACCAGAGACACAGGAAGGTGAATCAGCGGCCGACCGTAACCCAGTCTTTCAAACTGGAAATAGATAATGGTATAGTTGTTTTAAACAGCAAATAATTGTAATACACAAAGAAATCTTTCAAATATATATGGGGTTCATTAAATAATACAGTCAAACCAAAAATTATTCAGACACCAGATGTAATTTTTGATTATTTTTTTTACTAGTGGGTGCAGGACACTATAGTTCATTTATGTGAGTGAGGAGAGCAAAATAAAGTAAACTGTGACATACAGTATTGTACCCAAAAATTCTTCATACAGTGACTACCGTTTCCCCAGTCTGTCTAATATGCAATGAAATTCAGCTATGCCCAGTTTATCTAGCCTGGATGCCAGCCCGAACCCCGCCCACAACATTTTTTGGTCGGGAAGTTCGGTCTGGACTCGGCAAAAGTTTATTTTATCAGCTGGCTCCGATGGTTGCTAAGAAGAGGGAACGCAATGAAAACCCTGTGGTCGTTGTATGCAAGGGGATACATTAGCCCCCTTCCTCTTTATCATAGTCCTTGATTATGCGCTCAAGAAGGCAATCAGTGGGCGAGAGCAGGAACTTGGCTTCACGTTGACACCAAGGAAGTCAAGTCGGCACCCGGCAGTAGTCTTGACGGACCTTGACTATGCGGATGACATTAGTTTGCTCTCCAATAACATGGAACAAGCTCAGGAACTACTACACAGGGTGGAGCTAGAGTGCACTAAGGTTGGCCTTAGGGTAAATGCAAAGAAAACTTAGGTCATGACCTACAACGTACCACCGGAACATCAACCTCTGATAACAGTAGGAGACACTGTGCTGAAAGAAGTTGAGGACTTTAAGTACCTGGGCGCATGGGTCAACTCAACTGAGCAAGATCTAAAAGTGAGGAAGGCACTTGCATGGAGGGCCCTGAACGGCATGAACAGTGTATGGAACTCCAACCTCTCCCGCCAAATCAAACTCAGCTTCTTCTACGCGACAGTAGAGTCTGTTCTCCTCTATGGCAGTGAATGCTGGACCCTGAATCCAATCATAGAGAAGTCCCTAGACGGGTGCTACACCAGGATGCTGCGTGCAGTGCTTAATATCAGTAAGAGTGTGCATGTAACCAACAAAATCCTGTATGAGGGAGTATTAAGAGTGAGCAACAAGATTGCTGTGAGGAGAATGAGACTTGCAGGACATTGCCGAAGGCATCGCGAGCTGCCAGCCAGCAAGCTGGTGCTATGGGAACCAACACATGGCCATCGGTCAAGAGGACGTCCCACGCTAACATACGTGGACATACTCAAGAGGGATACAGGAGCCCAGAGCACCAACTGGCCGGATGCATGGAGAATCGGGATGCCTGGAGGCAACGATGGAAGGCTCGTCTGAGGACGACTTAGAGAGAGTTGTGGTTTCTCCTTTGGTCGCACTCATGGAGGACCAAGTAAAAGAAACAACACTCATTATTTTACTACTTCTTCCAGCGTGCGTGCAGTTGAGGTCTGTTGAAACTATGCTATGCAACTATGTAGCTGACTTACTGCGTTGCTCTGATTGGTTGTAGGTCTATCAAATTGAGTGCAGAGTTTTTTTTTCCCTGGTTCGGTTAAGACACGCCTCATAATCAAAGCCCTATGAAGCAGTATCAGACTCACATTCTGACTTGAATATGAGTATGACGAAGTCAGGCTACAGTTTATCACTTATTGCATTAGTTCTAGTATATACTCCCTGTGTCTTTCAGTCCCATCTCGTCTATGTGTAACTTATGTTAGTGTGTGGATTTGCCTGTCCTGTGGACCCTCCTGTGGATTTATTAAAAGACTATATTTTGTTGTGCGACTCACTACATAGCATTACGTGACAGAAGATCTGACCATAACAGTTTATTTTTTGTTGCGTTTTCTTTTGTTTGTTTTTTTCCTCCATCACCATGGACATTCCCGCTGTTGCCCTGCTATGTCTGGAGCAGAAGGACCGGTCCCCTGGAGTTTTCTTGGAGTTGGCGTGCCTAACCCACTATCCCGTTCTACATCGCCAGCCTCAGCGAGCAGTCCCGGGCAGGCCTTCCCAGGGAGCGTGTGGAGTGGGTCCTGGTAAATGGCATTCACCATCGGCCTCGCAGAGCCTACCAGCACCCCTCCACCAAACCCAGAGCCCAGTCAGCCAACACCCAGCCAGACGGTCCCAAAGCCTGATTCCAGCGCTTGTATCCACGGAGCCTGAGCCCAATATTATGTCTGACCAGGTGCGTGAGTCGGCTACAACGATCGTCGCTGAGGGAGTCCTTGTGCAGTGGACGTGCAGTGGAGCGCATGGATGCTAGCCCCGCCCACACTCCCGCTGCTGCGTGTATGGTAAATATGGACTATGGGATCTTATTGGACTTTTAGAGGTGGAATTAATAGACTGGTTTACGGATGTGATCACTGAAGATACCCCTATGTTGTTGAAAATGCCCAGTGCTATCACCCCTGTATCTCCTGTGCTCCAAGTATCTCCTGTGCCCTCTGTGTCTTCAGATTGCCCGCCCAGCCTCCCTTTCCCACCTCCTCTATTTTACCAACATATTTATTCAGCCCTTACTCCTCTGGTTCCTGTCTGCCCCTTTGCTCATCCACAGCTGTCCCTGAGCAGCACTGCGGATTCACTGCTGGGCTTCCAGCCTTGGCGTGAGGATCCCCTGTCTCTGCCTCCAGCCACAGAGACCTGGACTCCACCTCAGTCCTTTGATCCATCGGTCCTTCAGCTCCATCGTGGCCCGTCATCCCACCTGCTCCACCAGGCTCCCTCGTCCCACCAACTCCGCCTTGGTCAGGCATCCCCCTGGTAACACCTCAGGATTTCTGGCTGCCGGTTGCACCTCTGCCTTCCATCTCTTTGGCTCCACCTGGCTCTGCCTTCCCTCCGGCTCCACCGGTATTACTCCATGTGTTTTGCTGAAGTGGGTTTTCTTTAATTGCTAATGCTCTTTTTACACACAGACTGAACAACATTAAGCATTGCTTGGTAATCGGTTGATCTAAACTGGTATTATCTAATTGTGTAGTTAAATTTAACAGCTGACAGATATTCAACATAATTCATCTGTGAGAGTCTAACAGAAGGACGGACAAAACCAGTGAAATATCAACTGATTTAATAACTCTCAGTTGTTCTAATATTTTATTACCATTTTCTAAACTATAGCGAATAAACTGTGATAATGTGAGAAACGTTGAAGATGTCTGAATACATTTTGGTTTGACTGTACTTGGATTGATTGCTACATACCAAAGGTGTCAACCATTCAAAGACATTGACAGACTCCCCATCATTGATAAAGTAGGCCTGTCCACTCTAAAAAAAAAAAAACATTATGCATAATCTGGGTTCAATACTGCTGATTGCAATAAAAATATTTCTATCATGCCACACATACCGCCACAAAGGCTTTCTCCGCAGTGAGTGCTTCTGCTGCTAAGACATGAGCCGTCACCAAATTATCCACATGCACCCAGTTCATCTTGGCATTAGGGTCTCCAAAACAGAAGCTGAACAACCTCCTCTCCACATTCACCTGAGAAGAGAATCATTAAACCATGTTTCTGCATTCAACAAATCTTCACAGAGCTAACAACACCTTCTAAAGGCCCCGATATCCTTCAAGCGAAAACTAGATTGGGGGGTGAGTTTTGGAGGCGGAGCAATGAAGAAGTTTTGTTTGATTTCAATTGTCCAACAGCGTTTTTTTAAATATAGCTTACCCCACCTTTAAAACTGAGGGTGAGTAGAATACAAAAGATTATTTGTGTAGAGATTACACGAGGAAGCACAGACAGATGTGGCTGTATGTAGATACAGGAGAAACAGGAGCTTCTCACAGACTCCATTAATATTGTACAGCTCTGGGCAACGCTGAGCCTGTACAACTGTCTGGGTGTGTGTGTGTGAGAGAGAGAGAGAGAGAGAGAGAGAGAGGAGAGGGGAGAGGGGGAGAGGGGAGAGGGGGAGAGGGGAGAGGGGGAGAGGGGGAGAGGGGGGGGGGGGGGGTGGTGGTGGTGGATGGGGGTCTCACCATCACCCTGTGTAAATGTCTTCTCTCTTCAGGACCGTAGATACCAGAGGGGCGTAGGACACATGTCTGTAGAAGACCACCACCTATCACAGGAATACCTCAGTATTATAAGCATATCCATGACCTATTTTTTTCATATTACAAATAAATTAAAAGATGCCTATACATAATCTAAACAAGATTGTATCATTTAACCAAATATCCAGTTTTGACTAGTGAGCAATCAGTCAATATGAGATTGTATACGTTGTCAATACTGTCATCATGTGCTACTAGATATGTATAACATTAACAAAAGAGTTAAGTGGTTGTACCATAGTATAATGATGGCTATAGATGGCAATACTATGGTACTTTGATATTTACTATGGTACTAAATGATTACATTACACAAGTACCATTCCTTTCCTTGTGAAAAAAGAAGTGTGCTTAATGTGTACTTGTAGTGTACTTCAAGTCTTAAGAGTATTTAAGAAAAACTGTACTTGCAAATTATATCATATTTATTAAATAATGGTCCACATAAAGACCATGTAAGGGTTTGGGTGGATAGATGGATGGATGAATAAATTGTAACTTCATCCTTACAAATGTGTAATTCGTTTAAATACATGAAATGTTTCAGTAGAAATTACATTTAAGTATATTTTAGTTTGCCATGAATGATTGTCAGTACATTCAGCAGTAATTTTAACCAAATTTCACAACAGCCGCACTGGCCAATATATAATTTCTATTACTTTTATGTTTTTACTCATGATATCAAAGACATCTGATGCTGATCTGCATGCTTGAAATAGCAAAAAGTTGTGTCTCCCTTTGCGTTTTGTAAGGTGTGCAATTATTAGCGCAGAGTCCTCACACACACACACAGAGACACACACAGAATAAGCTTTCCCTCGTGCTTGACTTTATTGTTAAGCCTAGGTCTAATTTTAAAACAGTGTCAACAGGTCTGGTTGGGTTGGGTTGCAGGCTGTGGTCATTACCATAGCAGCTGTTACCTCAGTACCTCATCAGCAGTGGACACACACACACACACACACACAATATGATCGGGGTACATGACACCACTTGCGCTTATTGCTATTGTGCGCAATAACAGGATTGACTTCAGAGATCAACAAGTTTCCATTTCCGTACCTTTTGTTGGTCTTCCATTGGCCGCGAGCACCATGTGTTCGGCGATAGCTTTAGTCCTGGAGTAATGGTCTATGTGCTTGAAGAGAGAATGAAAAAAAATTTTCACATTTAAATAGATGACAAGATGATCATTTGTAAACTGTGCAATGAGTTAGTGATGGGATAGTAGTCCTCAAATTAAATATAGGAAATAAATTCTCAAATCAAAATGCTCAGACTACAAAGTGTCCAATTCATTTGATAAATTTGAATTATTTTTTTTAAAAATATTTGACCACAACATATTACAAACCACAATATATTATATCAAAGCTATCAATATGGTCACAATTTGTAGCCCAGGCATGGTCAAAATTATGATAAACATAATATTTTCTAATTCTAAGTCCATAGAAATAATTTATCTTAAACAAACAAACTAATAAATAGATAGCTTGTTTCAGCCATTAGTGAAAGTCATCACACATTAGTCAACCTCAGCCGAAAATGAGCGCCAGTGAAATCCGAGTGTGTAAGCTGTACCGTTGTATGATTCATCAGATGTTATGTATTCATGTATGACGTTTGGGTAGACAAAAGCGGGTGACTTGTGTAGCACCTCACTTGAGTGAGGTGTCGGATGGACTAATTTGATTCCATTAACCTTCCTTAACTTCAGTCTACTGTTCTTCTGGACAGTGAACCGGAGCACACAGGAGAAAAGCACGAGTCGAACTTCACCATGACACACTAATCCTTAGTGAAAGTCATCCACTTCTGATGCCTGTGACCACAGTGATCAGTAATGTAACAGATCAGTACATCCAGTGTACAGTAGACAGCATCAAGGATTATAATGGGTTGTTGTCTTTTTTTCTTTTTTTGAGTTGCGTTGCGGCACAGGTGTAAACATGAGCTGCGTCCTTCGAAGGTTGCGTTCGAAGGCAGATGTGTTCAGTGTTTTGAGTGGTGAAAAGAATTTGGACTAAATTAAACAACTCTGATTGGCATTTGCGTTCAAGCACAGCAAAATCCCCAGTGTTAAATTAACACCCCTCAGTGTAAATATGTGTCCAACTACAGGGTGTTAAAATTAACACTGAAGCAGTGTTGAAGTTATAATAGGTGTTGAAGAGATAATTAAGTGATTAATTAAGTGATGATTGGCCACTAGTGGTGGCATCTGATGCTAATAAGCAGAATCATTGAAGGAAAGAGAAAACACAAGAACTACAACTGACTTTGAGCCATTACACATTATTGCACTTATTACTAACCAGTATGACTTTATTTCTGTCATACATCTACTAAAGGTCTTATTGAGAATAAACAGAACTTTAGATCTTGATTGTTTCATTTCAATTCACCATTATGGTTATCAGTGTTTGCTTTAGTTGGGCTCTTGATCCTTTACTTTTTAATTGTATTTTTTCTCTGGCTGTTCCAACTTTGTGTTTATAAAGCACATTTGTTACTGCAATAGAAACTATGACCTGCTCACAATATGTTTTAATGATGACATTATCATCTGAACATCACAAAACAAGCTACTAAAGTCACAATAAAACAACAGCAAAATAAAAGCAAACAGGAAAAATCAATGAAAATTACAGGAAAATTCAGCTGCCAGGGTGGCACCCATCATCCACTGCAACATGAAGCATTTAGTTTGATTGTCACCATTGCTGAGATTCATACGCAGATTATTGATGTCTGTGTGTATTTTTAAAACCTTCAGATTATAAAAGCACTGCTGGATTTAGCTACTGTAATGAAAAAATAATAAAACATTTGTATAACCAGTTAAAGGGGTGGTTGATTATTATTTCACTTTTCTAACTTTAGTTAGAGTGTAATGTTGCTGTTTTAGCATAAACAACATCTACAGACAGAGTTACAATGCTCAAAGTGAGATATTTTCTTTTAAAGAAATTAGCTTTTTAAGAACTACAACAAACGGCTGGTAGGGACTACATGATATTCCTCCCGGGTTAGTGACATCACCAACCCCAAAATGTACATAAACCCCGCTCCCCAGAACACGATTAATAGATTATCAAGACAGAATATGCTAATCAATGACTAGAAGATAACTACACATAAGCTATCTAAATTCATCAACTAACCATTCAGAAATGTTGTCTACATGTTGCCCCTTCTTCCTGAGTCTCTCCATCTTTCTGACTCCGGTTTGAACATAAAAGGCTAAAAGTTTTTGAAATTTTCAGTGCATATCTTTGTGAGGTAAAAGGACACAAACTGTTGAAGCTCCGCCCTCTGTGACAGACACAAAACGAGACGCTGTTGCTCACCCTCAAAGAGTGACAACTTTAACATGCTATATAAAAATATCTGTGGAGTATTTTGAGCTAAAACCTCACACACACACTCTGGGGACATCAGAGATTTATTTTACATCTTGTGAAAAGGTGTATATTATACCACACCTTTAATAATGCTGGGTGAGATCAGCGAATCAGTCCACTTCATGATTCTAATTTCATCATCGAAACATAACCGTCATGACCTGGGCTGCGTTTCCCAAAAGCATCGTAAGCCTAACTTGATCATAGAGCAATTGCAACAAATGGTCTGTACATTAGGCTTACGATGCTTTTGGGAAATGCAGTCCATGTCATAGTTACACTTGCCGCAACAAATGTGCTTTACAAACACAAAGCTGGAGCAGCCAGAGAAAAACTCATATTTAAAAGTAAAGGGTCAAGAGCCCAACTAAAGCCGAACACCGATCACCATAGTGGTGTCCTGAAACTATAAATTCCATAAACCATTAATATCTAATCTTCTGTTTATTCTCAATAAGACCTTTACTAAATGTATGACAAAAGTCAAACTGGTTAATAATAAGTGCAATAATGTATAATGGCTGAAAGTCAGTTGTAGTTCTTGTGTTTCTCTTTTTTTTCCTGTTCTTGTTGACATAAATTAATTCATGATTATCTGTGCATCAGTTAAGCATGAATTAAAGGGATAGTTTAATACAATCAGAGATATATTTAAAAATGTCCTGGTTCTTCCAAGCTTTATAATGGCGGTAAATGGGTATTTTTTGGGAAATCCATCAAAGTGCATCCATCCATGATAAAAAAGTGCTCCACACGGCTCTGGCGGGTTAATAAAGGCCTTCTGAAGTGAAGCGATGCGTTTGTGTACGAAAAATATCTATATTTAAAACTTTATCGACTAAAATAACTAGCTTTCGACAGAGGGCCCATCCAATCAGAAGCCTGGCCACCTAATTTAGGAGCTTGACCCAGCTAATCAAGAGTGTTGCATAGCAGTGCTAGCAGAGTTATTAATAGTCCCTTTCAAAACCTGCTCCTTGCAGCACAAAGCTGGAGCCGGGCCGGCTTTAGAACAGGGCTGGTGTCCAAAAAACAAGTCTCAATGTTGAACAAACCAACATGTGTACTTCAGAAACGGCCTGAATGCAAGATGAATCAGTGCACAGTCAGTGTGCATCTCACCATGTCCAGCGGCACGCAGGGAACTGAGTCTTCATCTCCATCCTCAATGGGTCTGCCAGCAAACGCCACATTCACTGTGCTGGTGTAGACGAGTCTCGGGATGCCCCGCTCCGTACAGACTACAACACACCAACCAGAACCACACACTTATAGCAGACCTAAAATGACATCAAACTTCTTATTCTGTGTTAAAGGATTAGTTCACTTCAGTATTAAAATTGCCTGAAAATTTACTCACCTCCACGTCATCCAAGATGTTCATGTCTTTCTTTCTTCAGTCGAAAAGAAATTAATTTCAGGATTTTTCTCCATATAGTGACTTCAATGGTGTCCAACATTTTGAAGATCCAAATATCAGTTTCAGTGCAGCTTCAAAGTCTCGACACGATCCCAACCGAGGAATAAGAGTCTTATCTAGACAAACCAGCGGCCATTTTCAATTTTTTTTTTACATTTATATACTATTTAACCACAAATGCTCTTCTTGAAAGGTCTCGCAATTTTGAAGTTTGAGGAGAAAATGAGATGGAGTTTTTCGCCCTTCCCTACATTGTTGAACCGGAACAGGCGTGACCTTTCAACGTGATTGCGTAATGTATGGCGCTTCACAGAGTTAGTGAGAGACGAGCATTTGTGGTTAAAAAGTATGTAAATGTTTATTTTTTTAGAAAATGGGCGATGGTTTGGCTAGATAAGACTCTTATTCCTCGGCTGGGATCGTGTCGAGACTTTGAAGCTGAAACTCACATTTGGACCTTCAACCCGTTGGACCCCATTGAAGTCACTATATGGAGAAAAATCCTGGAATGTTTTCCTCAAAAACTTCAACTGAAGAAAAAGACATGAATATCTTGGATGATGTGGGGGTGAGCAAATTGTCCGAAATGTTAAATTCTGAAGTGAACTAATCCTTTAAATATTTCTTTAGTGAAGCTTGTCCCATATCCTTCAAATATTGCCTCCCTACATGTGATGTTGCCTGTAAATCTGGTCAAAAGAAGGAGAAGATCTTATAATACACATTCTGTATGATGCCTACACGGACAGCTCGATAAATGTATAACTCTATTTAGCCTTTGAATCTGATATCTGAAATTAACTCAATGGGGAATATTTCTAATACCATTAGAATACAAGCTTTAGTATGAAACAACAGGCCTAGTTACAGTACCGAATGATACAAATGTTGAAAGCTCACCGTTTATGACATTGTTCGTGCCGCCAACATTGACTGATTCAATCTGCTTTCTCTTCAGCTGCAGAACAAGAAAATACATGACCGGCGTATTTCACTTCCGTACGTTATGACATCGGTTCACTCCTTAAACACTCAGATATAATAATGAAACAATAATAGTCATGTTAAACTGAAAAAATGAAACTTAAAGCATTTATCACATCATAATAAATCTAATTATGGCTTATAACAACTACACATTAATTTTAAAATTGTGTCAATAACAAACTTGTTTTTTCTTTGTTTTTTTCTTAAGATAGTGCTTACATGTTATGGATCCACACAATGACACTCAACATTTTAAAATGAATGACTTCTGAAAATCAAATTGTCACTCTGTTTTTTTTTTCATTTTTTTTTTTTTCATTTGTCTTTTCTATTATAACTAAATGATAAAATGCTGATGGATTAAAATGCTTGGCATGATGGTAATGACAGCAGTGTTGAGAACTGTGATTCTTTGTTATAAAAATAACTTGTTCACAAATGTAAAACTGATAGAAAATATGATTTTTCTGAAAAGTGTTTTCGATTTCGATTGCACACACCGGGGAAGGTAGAAAATTATAAATAATAAAGATATTATGACAAACAACATGTCAGCACATGTCAACACTTTTTTTACTATAAAGCTATTACAATCCATCCTATAAAAGAATATAATGAAATAATGATGTGGTATAGCATGTTTTATGCATATTAAAATGTTCGGTCACACTCGTTCGGTTCCAATTCTCACTATTAAGGCTTTTGCCTCAATAAACTCCTTATTACTGCTTATTAATAGTTAAGGCAGTTGTTAAATTCAGGTATTGGTTCAGATTAAGCAATGCAGAAGATGATAATGCAGAATTAGGCATTAATATGTGTTTATAAGTACTAATAAACCGCCAATATCCTAGTAATATGCATGATAATAAGCATATAATTAATAGCAATAATTGAACCCTAAACTAAAGTGTTACCAAATGTTCTACATGTAAATATTAATATACTGTAATTCAATGCAAAATAAGGACTCAAGTAATATTTCCATGCGTGTTTCGTGGATTCTACAGACCGAGCTCTCATTAGATGTGTGTTACACTCACTGACCTGTTCAGGACCGGACATCCCGTAGGAAGCGGTGTGGAATATAACGTCCACTCCCGCACAGATCTTATACAGGGCATCATAATCCCGGATATCAATCTGGAAGGAAGACACACACAGATGTACTGAATCATAATGCCTACTCAATCACAGTGATGTATAAAGAATACAATCTGTACAGAAAATCATTCATTACAGTTTTCTCTCCCATTAATGAATTTTTGTTCAATCCATAAAACTTACTATAAGAAACTATAGTCTAGAAAAACCAAATTGGGAATGAAAATTCACATTATTCTTTTCAGAAACGTTTATTTGACTTCATAGAACCACAACAGTTTGGCTAAAACCTTTTGATTACTTGTAGACAATATTTCTATATTGATGGAAACATCTAGCAAGCAACCATTGAAACAATGTTAAGTCTGATGCGTCAACACTAATTGCATTGAATTAACATTACAAAGTGATGATGGTTCAGTCTCATGAGTGCCGTCGGCTTTCATCCGAAATTTCAATAATGATCCAACATACTTTAAACACTGAAATGTCAATCTCAACCAAAATGATGGTTTGCATGAATGAAAACTCAACATTGTAACAATGTCACCTTGCTATCTGGGGTGTAACATACTATTTATTTTTATTTTTCTGCATCATCATCATCATCATCTATCATGTAAATTTCTTAATTAACATACTGTTTTTGCTTCAGGGCCTGGTTTTGCTTTACATTGGACATCAACACAGTAATAAAACCACTGGTTAGAAAAATATCCTTCAAATTCAACATAAAAAAGTTGTTATTACCATTTAAAAAAGTTATTCATATTTCCATGTAAAACCACAATGTTCAATGGGACATGGACTGGATACAAAAAAAAATCAATTTTTGTATCTAAGTTTTGCTTAAAAATTAAATGATTTCAACATTTGAGACAATATTTCACTGGACAAAACACATTTTGGTTGGCAGGAATAATAAGCCCTTTTTGCACAGATTTGTTCATGATTTTCAAGGACGAGGACACATCATGTAACCTGTACATCTGTCTAACCTGTCTGTCGTTTACCAAGTTAGATGCACAACCTTTGACATCAAGAATATGGACATCTTTTCTCCTCCCGCTTTACTTTTCCATCCTAACTATGACAATGCAGTTATCCGTTACATTGAGCATTGCCTTTCCCCCACTATAAGATCAGACCATTTTTTTGTGCTGCGACCCTCCAGTTGAGAACACATAATACTGTAAAAAACAAAACAAAAAAAACCACAGGAGCAAAACCTGCTGAAACATTAACATGGCAGTTTCAGATTCACTTTCACGGCTCTTCCCCTTAGCCCAGCGGTTTCTCCGAGACATCCGAGTCATGAAAGCGGGTCCTGAAACCGGAGGCTTGAACGCTGCACCTGCTTCTGTTACCCAACAGCCCCTCCACAACCCAGAGTCTCCAGTTTCCCCGTACCTGCTGGAAGACGGCTCCATCTGGGATATCCCAGGGCGGCTTGAGGAGATCCAGCATTAGGACCGTGGCCCCTTGTCCGGCTAGAGTCCGGCCCAGCCTGAACCCGAAGTACCCGGCTCCTCCTGTGACCAGCACCTTTCCGGCCCCGCTCCGGCTCTGGTCCGGTCCTTCTCCGGCCCCACTCCAGCTCTGGTCCGGTCCCGCTCCGGCCCCACTCCGGCTCTGATCCGGTCCCGCTCCGGCCCCACTCCGGGCCTGATCCGGGCCCTCCAGCATGCAGTTGGGACTGTTGCACAGGGCGCCCACTGCCCCGTTGGCTCGGTGTCTGAAAGGGGGGGGTGCGTCGCTGTGGCTCGACCGACGGCAGTCCAGGAGACACGCACAGGACCGGTTCTCCTTCATAATGCACTCAGTCTGGGGACGATCAGAGACAGTGAGAGTCTAATGAACGCTGTGAAACAGATCCGCCTGTGAGTGAGTGAATCGATGCATAATTCACCTCTCCATGTAAAGAGGCGGAAGACAAACTTTTCCTTACACTCGCCTTACCTAAAAACTACTCAGAGTCTTCATACACTATTTTGAACATACAGTCAAACCAAAAATTATTCAGACACCAGATATAATTTTTGATATATATTTTTTTACTAGCAAGTGAGGATAGCAAAATAAAGTAAACTGTGATATATTATGACATATGTGACCCCTGGATCAAAAAACCAGTCACAAGTCGCACGGGTGTATTTGTGGCAATAGGCAACAATACCAACATGTGTCAAAATTATTATTATTTTCTTTTATGCCAAAAATCAGTAGGATATAAGTAAAGGTCATGTTCCATGAAGCTATTTTGTAAATTTCCTACCGTAAATATATAAAACATTTATTTTTGTGAGTGAATGCAGCACAATCGCAAACATAAATGACAACTTTAAAGTTGATTTTCTCAATGTTTCGTTTTTTTTTTTGCACCCTCAGACTCCACATTTTCAAATCTTATTTATTCAGCTTTCAGATGATGTATAAATCTCAAATTGGCCCATGTGACTGGTTTTGTGGTCCAGAGTCACATATTTACTCATATACCACATATACCACGTAAAAGTATACCACTGACTACCAGTAAAATTAATACAAATTTGGGACCAGAAATTATTCAGACACTTTGACCTGACCATGTTTTGCTGAAGTGTTTTTCCTTTAATTGCTAATGCACCTTTTTACACACAGACTGAACAACATTAAGCATTGCTTGGTAATCGGTTGGTCTAAACTGGTATTATCTAATTGTGTAGTTAAATTTAACAGCTGACAGATATTCAACATAATTCATCTGTGCAAAGTAAAATCCCTGGTGTTAAATTTAACACCGCTCGGTGTTTATATGGGAACCACCAGCAGGGTGTTAAAAGTAACACTGAAGCAGTGTTAGAGTTAATGAGATAATTAATTGATTAATTGCGTGATGATTGAGCATTGAAGACACCTAATGATAACAAGCAGAATCACTGAAGAGAAGAGAGACAATAACTACAACTGACTTCCGGAGATGAAATCAACTGAAGAGAAAAGAAGACATTACATCTCTGAGATCTCAGCAGAGGAGGATTAAACAACTCTACAAACAGCATTACCAACTCTTATTACCAACTAGTTAATGAGAATTATAGAGGTGTAGATGTTGATGTTTTATTGGAAATAATAGGTTTTGTAAAGACACCATTATGGTGATCAGTGTTTCGTTTAGTTAGGCAGTTTGACTTGGCTTTTTTATGCAAGTTTGTGGTGTTTGTAACAGTGTTTACCAAAACACATAATTTGTTACAAAGAAAGCCAGAAACAAAGATGATCAGGTTAAATAGTTTTAACCATCATGAAGTCGAATGATTCACTAATTGCATCACTGACCAAAAATGGTTACTTGTTATTTATAGGTTATTTTCATCAGTAATAATTTCATGCCACAGATCAAACATTCTAAATTTTGATGTTTAAAATACAATGTGGGAAAAAAAAAAAATCCACACACAGACATCAATAATTAGCATATGAATCACAACAATGGTGACATGCTTATGCAGCAATGCATGCTGGGAACTACCATTATATAAAACTAATTGCTCCCAGCATGCATTGCAGCATGAAGCAAGTCACCATTGTTGAGACTCATAAGCTGATTCTACATGTTAGTGTGTGTCTCTTTTAGAAAGTCTTCTTTTCTCACAATGTATTCAGAATATTTGATCTGTGTCAAAGAAAAATCATATATTAATGGTAGAAATCAATTAATAACAATAGCCACTTTTGGTCAGTGATGACTTATAACACAGTGAACACTTTTCTTTATGATGATAAAATATTTATCACCTGATCATCTTTGTTTATGGTTTCCTTTGCAACAAATTGTGTTTTGGTAAACGCTGTTTCAAAGACAACCACTAACATAAAAAATTGTAAAGAGTCAAACCGCCTAACTAAAGGAAACACTGATCACCGTTATGGTGACCAAATATTTTCAATAAAACATCAACATCTAAAACTGTTAATTCTCAAAAGATCTTTGTAGATGAATAAAAGACATAAGGTCAAACTGGTTTGTAATAAGAGATATTTCATGTATTTTCAGTTGATTTCATCTAAGGCTATGTCTGGAAGTCAGTTGTAGTTTTGTTTCTGTTATTTCAGTTAATCTGCTTGTTATCATCAGGTGTCTTCAATAATCGAACAATCATCACTCAATTAATCATTTAATGATCTCATTAACTCTAACACTGCATCAGTGTTACTTTTAACACCCTGCTGGTGGTTCCCATATAAACACCGAGCGGTGTTAATTTAACACCGGGGAATTTACTGTGTGTGTTAAAATCTACACAACATGTGTTAAAATCTACACAACATGTGTTGTCCCTGAGCACACACACTACATGTGTTAAAATCTACACAACATGTGTTGTCCCTGAGCAGCACACACACTACATGTTAAAATCTACACAATGTGTTAAAATCTACACAACATGTGTCATTTTTAACATCTCTTTTTACAGGTTGTGTTGTTTTCAACACATCATTTTATAAGAGCGCGCGACACTCACCATCACTGTGAATGGTATGCAGTGTTTGCTATGTTCTCAAACAAACAAGCCATGTAAATAAAAGTTATTTATATGCAGTATTTTATTAGTTGCTACATTTTAATCTCATTCAAAGTGCAAAATCGGTTAACTGTTCTCTCTTCATGAACATTTCTCAAGAGCAGCATTATCAATCAGGGGTTGAAGCTTGAATAACTGAATAATGTACAGTCCAGTGAGTCTATCCAGTCATTGAGCTTGAAACATTGTCTTGTACTTTGTGTGCACATGCATTCTGTACTCGACTATTGATTAAATGGTTAATAATTTTACTATTGCCCCTTTCGCTTTATTTTTTTAAATGACACAATTTGTGTGTTAAAATGACTTACACATTTATTGTGTTAAATTTGACACAACATGTGTTGTCCCTGAGCACACTCACTACATGTGTTAAAACTGACACAACATGTGTCATTTTTAACACATCTCTTTTTAGAGTGTAAGCTTTAACTGTGTTCTTGTTTATGGAATGCCAAAGCTGACTTAATTAAAAATAAATAAATACATAAATAAATATACAAAGAAATGTAAAAAAGTACAAATAAATGAGTATTTATACTTTTATTTCCTTATTTATGTATAATTGTATTTTTTCACACATTTATTTATTTTTTTATTTATACATTTATTCATTTATTTATTTACACTTTTATTTATTTCCACATTCATTTATGTATATATGTTTTTATGTCTACATTTATTTATTTTCACATTCATTTATTTATACATTTATTTATTTCCACATTTATTTATTTCTACATTTATTTATTTCTACATTTCTTTGTCCGTATGCTAATGAGGGGGGGGGGGGGGGGCGTGTTTTACCTCAGACATCAGCAATCGAGCTCAGAGTGGCAGTGCTGAAGCTTTCAGGCCACAGTGACACCTTGTGGTGTGTGACCAAACGAAACGCAATATCACATTTGAAGTCACATATATCACCCTAACTGTGTGTAGGGTAGGCTATATAGGGTTAACACGCATAGCACACATGAACAGAAACTGCACTTCAACGGGTCTGATAGCAGACACTTGGACATGGAAGCGCATGAAAGTATCCACTATTAATAACAATGTAAACGCGGTGGATAGGGCTGATAAGAGCTCGCGTTTGGCTTGCGTTTATTGTCGATGAGACTCGCACACCAGCGCAGAACGCGGAGAGAAACCAGCGCACATTTCACTGACTCCTACGCAAGCATATTGATCAATGAGTTTGAAACGCGACTCAATACACGGTTTACATTCGCGTTTCCTAATTTCGTATGCATAACAGGTGACAATTCAAATGCTTAAAACACAACCCATATTTCATAGATGCTGCTCTTAGATACTGATTAATCACAAGTCATCAATTTGGAATTATTCTTTCTTAAATCAAACAAAAGGGGCTCATGGAAACGCAGCTAGTGAGCCACGCATCTCACGCATCTGGTGATAAAATCTTAATACAGAGGAGAATGCTTTTACACTGCAATTACAATTGCATAAAAGTCGTTATGAGATTAATGTTAAAAATAAATGAATATAGAAATATGAAATGATGGAATCAATTAAATTGTATGTTTAAATATGAAACTAAAACAGCCAGTAGGTGGCGGTAAGTCACTGTCTTAAACGAGTGAGTCATATCATTAATTCAGACCGATTCATTCAAATACTTATTCATTCAGTTCGGGGGAAAATTATAATAAAATTATCTCATACATGGGCTTTTTTACAGCATTTTTAAATGCAGACATTTTTTTTATTAATGTTGGTGTAGGGCTGGGCGATATATTGCATGACATTGTTATGCGCATCTCGTCAGTAAAGCCGGTTCCTTGATTAGTAGTAAATCACCTTCACCTGCTTTCAGATGGAGCGGCATTTACTACACAGAGCCGTAGTTAACTGACAAGCTGAGCCATATCGCATTAATATCGCGGACGTATCGCCAGCGATAATTAATGCGATATGGCTCAGCTTGTCAGTTAACAACGGCTCTTTCTACACAGCAAAAACTCCAGTGTTAAATTAACACTCCTGGGAGTGTATATAAGTCCACACTAGGGCTGGGCGATATATCGCATGACATTGCTATGCGCATCTCGTCAGTAAAGCCGGTTCCTTGATTAGTAGTAAATCACCTTCACCTGCTTTCAGATGGAGCGGCATTTACTACAAAGAGCCGTAGTTAACTGACAAGCTGAGCCATATCGCATTAATATCGCGGACATATCGCCAGCGATATTTAATGCGATATGGCTCAGCTTGTCAGTTAACTACGGCTCTTTG